CCTCCTGTTTCCTCAAATGCCAAGTGCTGTATTTTGGGATGGCATGTCAGAAACCCATCTTTACAACTTTGAAAGTATTTGAGTGTATGCTTTCTCAGGTCAGCTTCTCTCTCAGCAGTCCTGTTAGTAGCAGAAATTATGGGAAACAGGCATCTAATTGATTTGTCCAGACCTATACAAAGTGGTAGATTGGGGGTTTCAGATGAAATCTATGGATGTCTTCAAAGTAGGCAAGATACCTATTTCTTTTTCGAAGTAAATAAATCCTTTGAAAGAGAATCACATCTCAATTTTCAGTGTAAGAAAATCTGGATTTTCATGTTGGATTTGTTTAAAGCAGGATGCACCTGTGTGTATGATATGTTTTTGTTTGCTTTCTTCTATTTTCAGAAAAGGACATGGCTATTTTATATGTTTAGCGGTCATCATATTATCTTATTCTCTGATTGAACAGAAAGTGACTTAAATTTATATCCATCCTTATTGGTATTTACTTTAAAAAAAAATTTTAGTCCAAAATTTCTTTAAAATCTTAGAACACGGGCGTTAATTCACCTTCAATCACCATACTGATCTCAAACTCATGACTGCCGGGGTGAATTAATCTGATTATTTGTTGTTTGAGATTGGCTGTTTATCCAGAGAAACCATCGATTATGCCAGCTTGCAGGCTGAATATCTGGAGTCACATCTTTCATGAGTATTCCACAGGAAGAGCGTCTGTGGTTTAAAAATTCCATCTTATTTTATTCCCTGCTTCCAGCTACCTTGTAGTTATTTTGGGGACCATTAAACCAGTCTCAGTTCATTCATCTGAAAACCGAAGAAGCAGCTTTCTTGTAAGAACTTATGTTGGCAAATAAAGAATTAATATTTACAGAGTATTTGGAGTTGCGTAAGTGAAGGTTTTAGAGGAAAGAGAACGTAATTGTTTTTTGTCCTCATATCAAAACTATGATAATCATCCCTCTAAGGCCTTGATAAATGCCAATTTCATATTAGCCACCATCTAGTCAGACAGCAGAGACCAGGGGAAAGGAGGAACCCAGAGTTAGATCCTGACCAGTAGGTCTCTTTTCAATTTAAAGCAGGTAATTCAAGTTTCCCTAATTCTAAACAGAGATGATAGTAGCTGGCTCCACATCACAGAATATTATAAAGAAACATAAAATAATTTGAGCTTCTTAAAAGAAAAGTCATATTGAAATGTAAGGAGTTCACATAAGTTGCTTTAAAAAGCCTTAACACCCACAGCAACAATGTGAATATTTAACATCAGTTAAACATTTTAGTTCAATAAGCCTGATTGTAAAACTCACTGATTAATTAGCTATTTGATAGGATATACTGTTTCACTGGGTCCTGTTCAAGGATTCTTACACATTTAGAAAACCTTTGCACAGGATCTCAGCTTAAAGATGGAAGAAGCACGCTATTAACTGTTCCTGAATATCTACCTACTCCTGGCATTAGGGCAAGGGCATATTCCAGGTGATGATGGGCTAGAGGGACTGATTGACAGAATTTTTCTTGAATTCCTAAAAGTGCCTGCTTTCGTCACCTGCCATATTATTATAGAGTAACGGGAATTAATGGTTCCAGCTACTGTCCATAAATGACCATTAGTATTTTGCCATTCTGGATTGTTCTAGCTTTCATATATTCAGTTTTCATGTGGTCTAAAGGTTTGAACATGGATATCACTAAACTAATTTTTATAAAGCTAATTATGTATCAATAAGAAATAATGTTCTGCCTGGCCACAGCCTTTGTACAAAAACTTGTTTTATTAGGGGTGAGGGTGAAGGTAGTGTAAGTACTCTCCCCAGTCATTCCCCCTACCCCGACCCCTTCACCTTTCTGCATATTCCTAGTGCTGAGGGTACTCTGGCCCCCAGACCCTTCAGGATTAGAGCCTTTTTATGTTCCCTGTACCTGGCCTGCTAGCTTCCTTTCCCACACCAGCAGGTCCTTTTCAGGACTATGTCCGTAGTGGCCTGGGGAGGAGAGAAGGAACTGTGAGTGTGGAGTAGAGGATAAAGGATTAGCCTAGGCACAAGCCTCAGCCAACATAAAATGATAATATGAGGTCGGGCATGGTGGCTCATGCCTGTAATCCCAGCATTTTGGGAGGCTGAAGTGGGTGGATCACCTGAGGCCAGGAGTTTGAGACTAGCCTGGCCAACATGGTGAAACCCCATCTCTATGAAAAATACAAAAATGAGCTGGGCGTGGTGGTGGGCACCTGTAATCCTAGATTTTTGGGAGGCTAAGGCAAAAGAATTGCTTGAACCCGGGAGGCGGAGGTTGCGGTGAGCCAAGATCGTGCCATTGAACTTGGGCCTGGATGACAAGAGGGAAACTCCATCTCAAAAATAATAATAATAATAATAACAATATGAATTTCTTTCAACTTATATTATTTATAATAACAATGTTTAGCACCCTTAAAGATGTAACTCTTAATGTGTCTTGAGTCCTCTCCTAAATTTGCTGTGGGGTCATGGAAAAGATGGCTTTCAAGTAAGGGAGGCTGAGGCAGAAGGATCACTTGAGCTCAGAGGTGAGAGTTCAGCCTGGGCAACAGCAAAACTCCATCTCTAATAAAATTTTTAATAAAAACCTTTTTATTTCCTTATTTAAGGTCCAAGTTCCAGGCATTCTTTGTCCTAGAGATTAAAAAGTAAGTGGCTGCCTGACCTTCTGCCAGCCTTTATGGAGAAATCAAGCCCCTGGAAACAGGAGATGCCTGACTTATCTCAACTGCCCTTGTCTCTAGGGTGACAGTTACAAGCCTGCTGCTGCCTCCCCACAAGACTCCTTGAGGCCTGAAAATTGTTTATCAGGCAGATTGTTTAGCTATAGGAAATAAGGACACATGTACAAACAAAATTTGGGATGGATTTAGATTTTTTTCGCTCTCTGGCAGAAAATAATTTCAAGTTTCTGTGCTCCTTCCCCTTGTCAATGTACTGTTAGTATTTTGAAAATTTGACTTTATAACAGTTTATTGGAAAAGTTATATTGACGTGTTCCCACTGTACTGGAAAGGAGCGGCCTGTGTTGTTGTATTCTCAACATCTTTCATGAATCGCTGAAGCCCAGAAGGGTTCATTGAATATATTTTTCCTCTGATTTCTAAAAAATGCTACATGGCAGAAAAAGAAATCTCGGTTAAACTTAAGAAAGTAGATATTACTTAGCTTTTAGAGATCGTTGCTTATTTGGATTAGTGTTTTTTTTTTTAAGGCACTAACAAAAACTCAAAAGAAAAAAGAAAGCTGAGAGAAGGATAATGCGGGCAGAAGAGGGACACAAAATACTGCTTTCTACCACTCCCCCTCCTCAAAGAGTATTTGAAGATGTAGAAGACTCGCATCAGTTGAATCCCTGCAGGCTTCACAGAGCGAAGCACAAAGGGCTGACTCCTATCTGTGTTTGCATGAGAGTGGGCTGGCTATTAGACCACCAAACAAAGGAAGGGCCAGGTGATTCCACAAAAGAGCCATTTGAAGTGTAAGGATTGATTTCCTTTCCTGCCAAACTCTCCTATTGCCAAATATCTCAACCCCAGCATTGGCCTGAAGTTGATCCTCTTCCCCTGAATCAGGCTAATCTACCCTGTTGTTTATACAAGCTGTGTTATCTAGTAGTGTTGAGTCACCGTTATAAGTATTGCCTACATCTACTTATTACAAAAAGCTTCTGAATTCCTTCCCTGGGAAGAGTTCTGTAACTTGGGAAACTGAACTTTATAGTCCAGACCACCTAAACACCTAAAGCAGAGAATGAGTCCCAAAGTTTTCAGCACTATAACAACCAAACTTTTTTTTTTTTTTTTTTTGAGACGGAGTCTCACTCAGTCACCAGACTGGAGTGCAGTGGTGCAATCTTGGCCCACTGTAAGCTTCAACTCCCTGGTTCAAGCCATTCTCCTGCTCAGCCTTTCGAGTTACTGGGATTACAGCCATGCACCACCATGCCCAGCTAATTTTTGTATTTTTAGTAGAGATGAGGTTTCACTGGGTTGGTCCGGATAGTCTCACTCTCCTGACCTCTTGATCCACCTGCCTCAGCCTCCCAAGGTGCTGGGATTACTGGAGTGAGCCACTGCAACCAGCAACAACCAAGCATTTTTAGATTTTTGTGTATTTCCTCTCCCTTCATTTTCTTTTCTTTCTTTCTTTCTTTTTTTTTTTTTGAGATGGAGTTTCGCTCTTGCTGCACAGGCTGTAATGCAATGGTGCGATCTCAGCTCACAGAAATCTCCACCTCCCGAGTTCAAGCAATTCTACTGCCTCAGCCTCCCGAGTAACTTGGATTATAGGCATATGCCACCACACCCAGCTAATTTTGTTTTTTTTGTTTTGTTTTGTTTTGTTTTTTAGTAGAGACGGATTTCTCCATGTTGGTCAGACTGGTCTCAAACTCTCACCTTCAGGTGATCCACCTGCCTCTTTCTTTTTCTTTTTTTAAATTCAACTTCCATTTTGAAAAACTTTTTTTTTTTTGAGATAGAGTTTCACCCTTGTTGCCCAGGCTGGAGTGCAATGGCATGGTCTTGTCTCACTGCAACCTCTGCCTCCCGAGTTCAAGCCTCAGCCTCCTGAGTAGCTGGGATTACAGGTGCCCGACACTACACCCAGCTAATTTTTGTATTTTTAGTAGAGATGGGGGTTCACCATGTTGGCCAGGCTGGTCTCGAACTCCTGATCTCAGGTGATCCACCTGCCTTGGTCTCCCAGAGTGCTGGGATTATATGCGTGAGCCACCACACCAGCTGAAAAACCTTTGTAGAGAATGTTTTGATAATCTTTGATCACTTGCCATATCCCAGGGTGGTGTGAAACCAGCATTTAAAAACATTAATGTACATTTAATACTTGTTCTTGGCCTCCATTACTTAAATTTAAAAGTTTAATACATCGTTGTTACACAGTCTGTAGATATTGATTAGCCCACTTGTGTTCTGAGTTCTTTTAATACTTGCTTGATTGCAGGAAATCTTCACCGAACCAGCAGTGTTCCTGAGTATGTCTACAACCTACACTTGGTTGAAAATGATTTTGTTGGAGGCCGTTCCCCTGTTCCTAAAAACTATGACACGCTAAAGGTAGGCTATCAAAGAATGTAACCCTAGTGATCAGATTACCAGGAAGATATTTTCAAACTTCCTAAGATTATTTTTGAATGTTTACTTTTCCCAAGTATTATCATTTCCTAAATGAGTTTTGAGAAAATTGATTTTTGTGAGGATACCATGGAAAACTGGGGACGTGAAAAAGTCTTACATCCTAGTGCAAATAAATATGACTCAAGTCAACCAAGTCTTACTTTCAAAAAGCCTTTACCCACAAAGGGGCCAACTTCTCGTCATCTGATTCAGAGAAACAGACCTGTTGGGTAATAGTACTAGAGTAATTAGTCCTCAGCAAAGTTGAAAACCAAGTTATGCCTCCTTTAAACTGTATTTCTCTCCTGTGCAGGCTGGCACAGTTGCCACTTATGAAGGACGCTGGGGAAGAGGAACAGCACAGTATAGCTCCCAGAAGTCCATGGAAGAAAGGTCCTTGAGGCATCCTCTGAGGAGATTGGAGATTTCTCCCGACAGCAGCCCGGAGAGGGCTCACTACCCGCCTAGCGATTACCAGTACAGCCAGCGAAGCCAGGCTGGGCACACCCTGCGCCACCAAGAAAGCAGGCGGGCCGCTCTCCTGGTGCCACCGAGATACGCTCGCTCCGAGATCGTGGGGGTCAGCCGTGCTGGCACCACAAGCAGGCAGCGCCACTTTGACACTTACCACAGACAGTACCAGCATGGCTCTGTTAGCGATACCGTCTTTGACAGTGTCCCTGCCAACCCAGCCCTGCTCACATACCCGAGGCCAGGGACCAGCCGCAGCATGGGCAACCTCTTGGAGAAAGAGAACTACCTGACCTCAGGCTCCACCGTTGGGCAGGGCAGGCCGCTGGTGCCCCTGCAGCCCCTCACTCAGAACAGGGCTTCCGGGTACTCCTGGCACAAGAGCTCCTTCCACAGCACCCGCACGCTGAGGGAAGCTGGGCCCAGTGTGGCCGTGGATTCCGTAGATTCCGGCGGGAGGAGAACGCACTTGACCGTGGGCCAGGTGGCGGCAGGGGTGAGTGGGAATCTGCTCACTGAAAGAAGCACTTTCACTGACTCCCAGCTCGGGTAAGTCCCCTCCTGACTCTGCAGCTCAGCCATTGCCAGCACATTCTGTTCCCACAGCCCTGACAGCATGAGCTGGCACTTCTGGGGCTGGAGAGAAAAGCTTCCAGCGATAAGTGATTAAAATAATGACTTTTCAGGCAGCTGCCTAATTGACAGATCAGCCTATTTACCTCGGGGACAGGGGCCAAGCTACCTGCTCACATGGCAGCTTTGTGCAGAAATGTGACATTTAGTCCATCTGTTCCAGATTAGATGCTAGCTGAAGGGACCCTACCCCTTGGCCATGTGAAAATCTGCTCTAAACTTCAAAGCAGGCCCAGAAATGGAGAATTGCATCGCATTTTCTTCATCATCCCATGAAATAAAAGGAAACAACGCTTATTCCTAGCGCTAAGTGTGAACCTCAAATGCCGTTTTGATAACTATGACTGTAAAATGAGCTAAGGAAAGATGGCTGACTTCTAGATGTCTCTTCTGCCTTGAATACTTGGTATCGTTTAGATTTCTAGTGTCAGTGATTTGAAGGGGTATTCTTTTGGCAATATTAAATTATTAAAATAACTGAATTTTTTAATCGTTCCTTTCCCTTCCTATTTATAGCTTGACTAATTGAGTATTTGGAACTTAACCCTTATTCATGTTTAATGCCTAAGCACAAATTTTATAAACTGAGCACATTACTAAGAGAAAGTTGAGAAATGGATGGCCGATTAGATCAGGAACTCCTGCAATAGTGATCTCACATCATTAGGATAAAACATTAGATATGTTGTTGTTATTTGATTGCTAACATTGTCTAATGATAGTTGTAGCCTCTAACTATCCCTTCAAGTGAAATTGTACAGTATGCCCACTGACCAAGTAGGCGTCAGTGATAAACTACTTCTCAAAATGTTGAGGAGTAATCTAAACACAGGAATTTTTTTTTTTTTTAGACAGAATTATGCTCTTGTTGCCCAGGCTGGAGTGCAGTGGCGTGTTCTCGGCTCACCACAACCTCCACCTCTGGGATTCAAGCTATTCTTCTGCCTCAGCCTTCTGAGTAGCTGGGATTACAGGCATGTGCCACCACACCTGGCTAATTTTGTATTTTTAGTAGAGATGGAGTTTCTCCATGTTGGTCAGGCTGGTTTCGAACCCCCAATCTCAGGTGATCCCCTGCCTTGGCCTCCCGAAGTGCTAGGATTACAGGCATGAGCCACTGTGCCTGGCCTACCACAGGAAATATTTTTTATGGCATAAAATTCACCATGAGATTTCTAAAATTTCTTATAGTAAGCAGACTTTTGACAATGTGAGCATACTCACAAAGAGGAAAAATGAGCCGGGAACAGTGGATCGGGCCTGTAATCCAAGCACTTTGGGATGCCCAGGTGAGCGAATCACTTGAGCTCAGAAGTTGAGGACAGCTTGGGCAACATGGTGAAACCCATCTCTACAAACAATACGAATACTAGCTGAGTGTGGTGGTGTGCACCTGTAGTCCTAACTACTTGAGAGGCTGAGGCGGGAGGATTGCTTGAGCCCAAGAGGTAGAGGTCACAGTGAGCCAAGACTGCACCACTGCACTCCAGCCTGGGGAACACAGTAAGACCTCATCTCCTCCAACAACTGGCATTGTCTTTCTCCATCTGTGTCCCTTGCTTCTTGAACCACCCTGTCACTTACCAGACTCTTGTCAACCCACTGCAATATGATTTTAATCCCCTCCATCACACTGAAAGTCTCCTGACAAATGTAGCAATGACTGCCTTATTTGCTTCATCCTACACAGACAGTATACTGGGTAATATAAGCAGTCCTTATATTCCTAAACCTGCAGGAAATTCTCTCATCCCTTGGTTTTGAGGGCACCAGCTTCCCCTGGTTTTCCGCTCGCCTCTCCAGCCATTCTTGGTCAGTCTTCTCTCCGTGCTCCCTTTATGCCTGCCCAAAGAAGGCATCTTCAGTAACCTTTCTATTCCAAGTCCTGATGCTCTTCCAGAGAGGCCCTGTGTACCTCACTTGTATCCTTATGGTTCTCAAAGTTTTGTCTTCATCTCCATCCTCAATGCCAAATTCTGGACCTAAGTGAAAATCTAACAACCTCCTGGGCGTTTCAAACTCAGCATATCCTAAACTCAACTCATCATCTACTCCCTATCCTCAACTTCCGCCCATCTCCTCCTGCTGTAGTCTACTTTTTTTTCTGAGACAGAGTCTCACTCTGTCACCCAGCCTGGAGTGCAAGGGCGTGATCTCAGCTCACTGGAACCCCTGCCTCCTGGGTTCAAGCAATTCTTCTGCCTCACCTTCCTGAGTACCTGGGATTACAGGCTCATGTCACCATGCCCAGCTAATTTTTGTATTTTTAGTACAGATGGGGTTTCACCATGTTAGTCTGGACTCAAACTTCTGACCTCATGATCTGCCCGCCTCAGCCTCCCAAAGTGCTAAGACTACAGGCATGAACCACCATACCCAGCCTAGTCTACTATTTTCAAACCTGGAAGTCATTCTTACCTTCTTCTGTATTCACTTATCACCAAGCCATATCTTTCCTTCTATAATGGGTCTTATATTTTTACCCTTTTTTCCATTTCCATTACACTGGCCTCTCTGTCTCTGGTCTTGCTCAGTCAGAACCGTTCTCTAGGACTGTCAGAATTATCTTTCCACCTCTGATTGTTTCTCTCCCCGGTTTATAACCCTTCCATAATTCCACTAAGTAAGTATTCATGCTTTTAGCCAGACCTACAAGGCCCGTTGTGTTTTCATCTCTGCTTATCACTTCAACCTCTTCTCCTTCTACTCTTCTCTGCCATCATCACCACCATCCCCAAACATACCCACATACCAACACCCAAACCACCTGGAACCTCTTTCTTTAATGCAAGATATTCATCCATATTTATTCTCTCTCTCTTTCCTTCTTTCTCCCCACTCCAGATCTTTACATATGCAACTCTGGATTTTTGTCTGACTACTTATAATTCTGGATTTAGCTCAGATACCACCTTTTTTCTGACCACTTCCTTCCCAGTCTAGCTGAGGTGCCCCAGATAGCAGCCTTGCATGTCTTTATCAGAATAATATATTGTGGCTATTCATGTTCTTATCTGTTCTCCCTCTGGACTTTGAGCTTTTTGTAAGTGCGTAATCATCTTTATATTCTCAGCACCCTAAAATGGAAGTAAGTCTAAAGTAGGAACTGTAACAATATCTGATGAGGCCAGGCATAGTAGTTCACACCTGTAATCCCAGCACTTTGGGAGGCCAAGATGGAGGATTGCTTGAGCCCAGGAGTTTCAGACCAGCTTGGGCAACATGGGGAGACCCCCATTTCTATTAAAAATAAACAACTTAGCCTGACATGGTAGTACCCACCTGTGGTCGCAGCTACTCCGGAAGCTAAAGTGGGAAGATTGCTTGAGCCAGTGAGGTTGAGGCTACAGTGAGCAGTGATTGTGCCACTGTACTCCAGCCTGGGCAACAGAATGAGATCTTGTTTCAATAAATAAATAAGAGTATGGTGAAAGAGCAAAGGAATTAAAGGAGAAATGAAATATAAACTTTTTGCCATCTAAGTTTTGTTGCTCAAATTCTTGAAGAAGTATTAGTTATACTATTTTTCAATTATTGTTTTAATAGAAAGGGTAAATTGTATTAGAATATTTAATCATATTTCAAAGAATAGAAGGAACAGTTGAGGTCAAGAAATTTAAAAATAATGAGTAAGGAATCTCTTCCTGAGATTTCCCCAAATTGTAGAGAGTAGAAGTCATAGAAATCAACTTTTTTCTCTGATGTTGAAAGGAAAATTTGGCTCTCTGTTAGAAGGAGAAGGAGCCAGAAGTATTTTGTGTAATGAGGAAGATAGATGCCCAAGGTGGTGCCTCTGCCTCCCTGACTTTCCCCTTTCCTTTGCTGGGCTCCATGGCTCATTTCAGCTCCCCAGGCTGCTCCCTGAGACCCCTGCCCTGAGACCACACACTGTGTTCTCCTTTGCCCCGCATTGTCTCATATTTCAAGCTCTGTCCAGCCCCTATTTTGGGGATTTAATTTTTTATGCCTAGTGAAATTCCCACATGTAAAGGAGTAGTCTTTCATGTACATTAAATATTAACTAGATATAACCATAAGCCTGTAATAATGACCTAAGGTAAACAATGGACACGGCTTTCCAAAAGATGAATGGCTGGTTAAACAGTGACTAATGCAGCTAAAAACTGAGACTTCCATGTCTCTCAGTAAAAGAGAGACACACTGATGAAACTGATGTTCTAAATCAAACTGATGAAAAAGGTTTTTAAACATCACCAGAAGAAAGTTCTATATGAATTTGTCTAAAACCATGATTTCTGACCTGTTGGAGAGTGGTGGTTCTACAGATGAGTATTAGGGTCTTCATAGGCTCTTCCCAGTAAGCATCACAACAGATGAAAATGGCTCACACCTGTAATCCCACCACGTTGGGAAGCCGAGGCAGGTGGATCACTTGAGGTCAGCAGTTCAAGACCAGCCTGGCCAACATGGTGAAACCCCATCTCTACTAAAAATACAAAAATTAGCTGAGCATGGTGGTGGGTGCCCATAATCCCAGTTACTGGGGAGGCAGTAGAATCGCTTGAACCCGAGAGGCAGAGGTTGCAGTGAGCTGCTTTCGCACCATTGCACTCCAGCCTGGGCGATTGAGTGAGACTCAGTCTCAAAAAAAATAAATTAAATATAAAAATTGAGTGGGATATATGATGGTCTACAAGAGGAGCAGTGGAAAATAAAATAGGATATGTCATCAAGTGCTAGGTTGCATGGTACATGTTAGTGTCTACAGAAATTTAAAGAAAACAAGAGCAGGACTGGGCATGGTGGCTCACACATGTAGTTGCAGCACTTTGGGAGGCTGAGGCTGGCAGATTGCTTGAGCCCAGGAATTTGAGACCAGCCTGGGCAACATGGCAAAATCCTATTTGTACAGAGTATACAAGAATTAGCTGGGTGTGGTGGTGCATGCCTGTAGTCCCAGCTATGCGGGAGGCAGAGGCAAGAGAATCACCTGAGCCTGGGAGGTGCAGGCTGCAGTCAGCCATAATCACGGCACTGTACCCCAGCCTGGGCAACAGAGTGAGACCCTGTCTCAAAAAAAAATGAAACAAACAAAACCCACAAGAGCAATGTGCTCTGAGATTAGTTGAGGGAGACTAAGTAGAGACGGTGGCTCTTCACTGGATTGCCAGTCCAATCTGTGACTCAATAGCACTGCAGAGCAGGAAACAGATCATAGTGACTTCCCTCCATGTCCTCTTAATGATGACCTGCTTTATTTAGTTCTTTGATTTTTCGTCTCTTTCAACTATACTTTTTTTTCCATTTCCATTTTTAACAGCCCAGTTCAAGGCTTTTTTGCCTCAGCTGAACTTTTTGAAGTGCCCTCAACATGGTCTCTTTCTTTCAGCATACACGTGTCCACTCCAGAGTCATCTTTCCAAAGCACTGCTTTCATCATCACTTTAAAATATTTGTGGGGATTTGCATTTACTGAGTGTCTGACACTCAGTAGGAGCTATCCATTCATTAGTTTATGTTTGCTTTGCCTTCAGAAGTGTAGCCGTATTCTAATATCAGGGAAACCAGCCTGGGCAGGGCTGTGTTGTTAGTTGGCAGAACACTGGCTACTGGGGATTACACACAAACACAAGTTACTGGGTTGTTTGTTTTGTTTTTTTGAGACAGAGTTTCGCTCTTACTGCCCAGGCTGAAGTGCAGTGGCACGATCCTGGCTCACTGCATCCTCTGCCTCCTGGGTTCAAATAATTCTCCTGCCTCAGCCTCCTGAGTAGCTGGGATTACAGCACCCCCACCACCACACCTAGCTAATTTTTGTATTTTTAGTAGAGAAGGGTTTAACCATGTTGGCTGGGCTGGTCTCAGCCACCATGTTGGCTGGGTGATCCACCTGCCTCAGCCTCCCAAAGTGCTGGGATTACAGGCCTGAGCCACTGCACCTGGCCAAGTTACTGGGTTGTTCCCCTCCGCCCCCATAACGTCTCCTATTCTGACTAATGGTATTTTACACTGCTTTCTCTTACTATTTAAAATTTATACTGATATTTTAAAAATTGTTGAAAAGACTCACTTCTGGAGAATATGTTCAGGGGTCAGTGGGGCTGGGGAACAACTTCTCTTCCTGGTTCTCCAGTCCAGGCCCAACACCACCTCCCAAGCCAGGTTTCTTCTGCAGGCTTCAATAATTGTTTCATAAGTGAGTGGAAAGAGAAGAAAGGAAGAAAGAGAGAGAAGAAGGGAAGAAGAGAGAAAAGGAGCTGGCGTGGGGGAATGCTGTAGTAGAACAGAGGAGGAAAGAATAGCTCTCTCTGGGAGAGGGACGCGGAAAATATTTCACAGAAATGAAGATATTTAAGCTGAGGCAGGAGGATTGCTTAAGACCAGGAGTTGGAGACCAGCCTGGGCAACACAAAGCACCATCTTTATAAAAAATTAAAGAATTTGGCTGGGCACTGTGGCCCACGCCTGTAATCCCAGCACTTTGGGAGGCCAAGGTGGGCACATCACGAGGTCAGGAGTTTGAGACCAGCCTGTCCAACATGGTGAAACGCCATCTCTACTAAAAATACAAAAATTAGCCAGACGTTGTAGCAGGTGCCTGTAATCCCAGCTACTTAGGAGGCTGAGGCACGAGAATTGCTTGAACCCAAGAGGCAGAGGTTCCAGTGAGCCGAGATCGTGCCATTACACTCCAGTCTGGGTGACAGAGCAAGACTCTGTCTCAAAAAATTAGTCAGGAGTGGTGGCTCACACCTATAGTCGCAGCTGCTCAGAAGGCTGAAATGAGAGGATCACTTGAGCCCAGGAGGTTGAGGTTATGTTGAGCTGTGATCACATCACTGCACTCCTGCCTAAGTAACAAAACAGGACTGTGTCTTTCTAAAAAAAAGAACAAGAAGAATTTAAGATATTTGAAATGAGTCTTGAAGAATGGATAAGGATTAGGTAATATGATAAGTTTCCTGGAAGAGTCAAAGGTGGTTTCTGAAGAAGGTGGCAGTGTTTACAGAAAGATTAAAAACACGAAGTGATTGGAGGGGTGTGTAGTAGATCCAAGGAGTGGGAGGGAAAGGGGTTGAGGATGACAGGAAATGGAGACAGACCTGGTCCAGAATGTATGCCATGTTGTGCAGGTGGACTTGATAGACAATAACAAAACAGAAAGTTGACCCCTGACAGCTGTAGTAAACCTTGCTGAGGAAGTCTTCATTTCGTTTAGGATTGTTTTTAGTGATAAAGTGAAATCGCACTGGGTTGCCTAAGTGTGAACACAGAGCTTCTGTGTCAATCATGTTCAGGAAAATAAAGGATTAGAGTAATGGAATTGTATGTGGGTGTTAGAGATGGGAAATTCAAACTTTCCTGAGTCATGTATGGCTTATGAGATAGATTAATGGCTCAATGTTAAAAAAAAAAAAAAAAGGCTGCATAACAGAAGGCTGTTCTTATGAATGATCTTTCACTAGTTAAAACACCTGCAGTGATGGCTGGTAAAGCTTTGCTATTGAGCTTGAGACTAGACTCACAGAGTTCTGATTCTCTGTAAAGGCATCAGATTCCATGAATGTAAAATATTTCCATCTCCTTTAAAACGTGTGTGTATATTAGATAAAAATGACTCGAATTCTAGTTTTAATGGTAATAGCCTGAATTTTTTTAACCAATTATAATTGACTTGTGAGGCACATTAAAAATATGAGATCATCATGTAATTCTCAGTACAGATGCCAGAAATTTTCTGCTTCACTTTTAATACCCTTATACTTATGAGGTAGCCCTTCTGTGTTTGAACATGTGTTTCAGAAGCAGGGGTATTAGTTTTTAGTCATGAGGCACATTACTGCTTATCACCCCACCTGTACCACACCCACCCCCACACAGGCACACCCTTCACAATGCTGCACACACTCACACCTGTACACATGTGTATATATTCATGGGTTAGCCTGATAGAAAAGAGTATTTCCTCATTATGCTTGCTAGTAGATACTGGAAAACTCCTCAGTATTCATTACTGTTTCTATTACCTAGAATGAATCTGGTATAACCCTCTTTGAAGCCAGAAACAGGCCTAAATTACCTTTAAAGTGTGTCTTTAGTCATTATTTTGTTTGTTTTTGAAACAGAGTCTTGCTCTATTGCTCAGGCTGTGGTGCAGTGGTGTGACTAAGGCTCATTACAGCCTTGGCCTCCCAGGCTCAAGCGATCCTCCTACCTCTTCCAAGTATCTGGGTCTACAGGCACACGCTGCCACACCCAGCTAATTTTGTTTGTTTTTTGTAGAGACAGGGTCTCACTGTGTTGCCAGGGATGGTCTTGAACTCCTGGACTCAAGCAATCTTCCTGTCTCAGCCTCCCAAAGTGCTGGGGTACTACAGATGTGAACCACCATGCCCAGCCTAGAAATAATTTTTAATTTCTGTAAACACATTTTTAAAAATTCTTTTAAAACTCTTATTGTGCCTTTAAAGTTGCTTTTAAAGCTGTAAGTATCATATGATACATATTTATCTTTTTTTTTTTTTTTTTTTTGAGATAGAGTCTCATTCTTTGGCCCAGGCTGTGAAGCAACACAGTCTCTGCTCCCTGGAACCTCTGTCTCCCAGGTTCAAATGATTCTCCTGCCTCAGCCTGAGTATTACAGTATTACACCTGAGATTACAGCTGTACACCACCACGCCCAGCTAATTTTTTGCACTTTTAGTGGAGATGGGGTTTCATGATGTTGGCCACGCTGGTCCTGAACTCCTGACTTCAAGTGATCCACCACCTCAGCCTCATATTTATCTTTAAAAATTCAGCTTCTTTCTTTGGTGTATGTTAAAATTCAATCCAATGACATCATCCAGGGTCTCCAGTCTCATCAGAGCTGTAGTATTTCTGGCCAGTAAGTACCTCTGCCTTCTCATCTTGGGTGCTGATTTTTCTTTTGGCTGAAGAAAAACCAAGGTTCAGATGTTCTAGTGCTTTCCAGTATTAGCTGAGTCATCTCTGGAGGACCAGGTTGGTAGGCAGGAGAAGGGAGGTTTGGAATCTGGCTGAATCTGTGCCTGTTTGTCTAGGAATGCAGACATGGAGATGACTCTAGAGCGAGCAGTGAGTATGCTTGATGCAGACCACACGCCGCCGTCCAGGATTTCTGCTGCAGCCACTTTCATACAGCATGAGTGCTTCCAGAAGTCTGAAGCTCGGAAGAGGGTGAGTGTCATCTTCAGCCCATTGCAAAGCACAACACACTTTCACTTCTATCATGGTGACCTTGCACACTGAAACCAATACTTTATTTAAATTTTTAAAAATTGGGGCTGGGCGCAGTGGCTCACATCTGTAATCCCAGCACTTTGGGAGGCCGAGGCGGGTGGCTCGTGAGATCAGGTATTTAAGATCAGCCTGGCCAACGTGGTGAAACCCCGTCTCTACTAAAAATTAAAAAAATAGCCGGGTGCGGTAGCAGGCACCTGAAGTCCCAGCTATTTGGGAGGCTTAGGCGGGAGAATTGCTTGAACCTGGGAGGCGGAGGTTGCAATGAGCTGAGATCGCACCACTGCACTCCAGCCTGGGTGATAGAGCAAGACTCTATCTCAGGGGAACAAAAAAAAAGTCTGGGCACAGCAGCTCACAGCTGTAATCCCAGCACTTTGGGGCCAAGGTGGACAGAGCACGAGGTCAGGAGTTCAAGACCAGCCGGGGCAACATGGTGAAACCTTGTCTCTACTAAAATACAAAAAATTAGCTGGGCATGATGGCAGATGCCTGTAATCCCAGTTACTCAGAGACTGAGGCAGGAGAAGCACTTGAACCCAGGAGACAGAGATTGCAGTGAGCCGAGATTGTGCCTTTGCACTCTAGCCTAGATAACAAAAGGAGACTCCATCTCCAAAAAAAAAAAAAAAAAAAAAAAAATGGCCGGGCACAGTGGCTAACCCCTGTAATCTCAGCACTTTGGGAGGCTGAGGCGGGCAGATCACTTGAGGCAAGGGGTTCAAGACCAGCCTGGACAACATGATGAAACACTGACTCTACTGAAAAAAAATACAGAAATTAACCAGGTATGGTGGTACATGCCTGTAATCCCAGTGAGGAAGGAGAATCACTTGAACCCAGGAGGCAGAGGCTGCAATGAGCCAAGATTGCCCTACTGCACTCCAGCCGGGGCGACAGAAGACTCATCTTAACAAAGCAACAAAAAATTGAGGTCTTTTACTTTAAAAGGAAGCATCTACTCATTACCAAAAATATTTTCTGCAATTCAGAAATGTAGAAAGTAAGTCGCTACACAAACTTTCCTGGTCTTTTATTGTCTCCCAACCTCCCCATTTAGAACCATCCCCAGAGGCCAATGTTTGGCAACTTTTTTTCATTTAATGATTCCATTAACATTTGTAACAATTGTTCAACTAATTGCTATGTGCCTATATCTTTTGACACTTTTGTTCCTGTAGGACAGATTCCCAAAGATAGAATCAATAGGTTATTTTTTATTTGTTTTAAAAAGTGAAACATTCATGAAAGAGGAGGAATCACAGCTCAAACAGGTATTCAGTGAAAGTACGTCTCTTTTTCTCTAAACTCCAGCCTGTATCTCCTGTTCTCTCTGTCTCTCTCTCACACAAACACATATATCAATTTTTTCAGTCTTTCCAGAGATATTTTATACACATAGAACCAATTGTTGAAACAATTGAGTATCCTTTTCTAAAACACAAAATCAGATGGTAACTTACTACTTACAGGACTTTATTTTTTCACACTGTATCTTAGAAATCTTCAATATATGTTAATTTTACCTCATTCTTTTAAGATGCTGCATAGATTTCTGTTATCTAAATATACCAGTTTTATTGGTTCATTTTTTTTAACGACCTTATTGAGGTATAATCTGATATAGTTTTGACAGTATAAAACCATCATCACGATCAAGATCACAAACGTATCCATCACCTCCATCGTTTTCTTGTGCCCCTCTGTAATCCGTATATCCCACCTGCCCCCAGCCTACTAACAGCCTCCGAAAACCACCAGTGATCTGCTTTCTTTCCTTTCTTTTTGAAACAAGGTCTCACTGTGTCACTCAGGCTGCAGTGCAGTGATGCGATCAAAGCTTAGTGCAGCCTCAACTTTCTGGGCTCAAGGAATCCTCCCACCCCAGCCTCCTGAGTAGCTGGAACTGTAGGCGCACACAACCATGCCCAGCTAATTTTTGTATTTTTTGTAGGGACGGGGGTCTCACTGTGTTGACCAGGCTGCTCTGGAACACCTGGGCTCAAGCAGTCCTCCTTCCTCAGCCTCCCAAAGTTCTGGAGTTATAGACGTGAGCCACTATGCCCAGCCATGATTTGGTTTCTGTCACTAGATTAGATTGAATTTTCTAGAATTTTATATAAATGGAATAATATAGAATATAAGCTTTTTTTACTCTGAATTCTTTTTTTTTCCAGTACTTCTCTCCTTTACTTGCCACAGATGCTATTTGCTTTTGTTTTTATTATTACTTTATTAAGTGCTATCTCTTCCACAAGATTTGTACTGTACATTAGGAATCATATCTGTTTTTAACTATATTCATATTTCCTATACTTGAGGTCAGTGCTTTGCACATAGCAATAACTAAACTAGTACTTTTGGAGTCAGTAACTATGTGAATGAATGAATATATGTTAGTTGTGTCAAGCTTTGAATTAAGTTATTAATCATACTTAGATCCTCAGAGTATAAGAAAGATTAAAGAAAGCTTCTCTTCAGACGTATCAGTTCACTTCCTACTGGAGACATTTTTTTTTTTGAAAGAAAAAAAAGGAGAGAAGGAGAGGAAGAAAGAGGAAGAAAAAGAGGGAGAGAGAACAGGAATATTGCTTTATTCTAAAAATGGGTATTAATAATGGCCGATCAATATTTTGTGTATTTAAGGTGGAGAATGTATATTTTGTGTATTTAAAATGGAGAGCTCTATAAATATTTATTGAGTTTACTTGTTCCGGATCTGAGTTCAAGTCCTGGATATCCTTATTAATTTTCTGTCTCGTTGAGTCTAAATCTCTTTATGGGTCTTATGTATCTGGGTGTTAGGATTGTTAGCTCTTATTTTTGCATTGAACCTTTTACAACTATGTCTTTGTTGCTTTGATATCTATTTTATCAGATGCGAGAATTGCAACTCCTGCTTTTTATTTATTTATTTATTTTTGCTCTCCCCTTTGGTTGGTAAATTTTTCTCCAACCCTTTGATTTGAGTCTTTGTGTATCTTTGGATGTAAAATGGGTCTGGATGTCACATATCGTTAGGTTTTGGCTGTATCTTTTGATTGGGGGATTTAGTCTATTTAAATTTAGGGTTACTGCCATTTGATGTTAACTGGCTATTTTATCCATTCGTTGATGTAAATTCTTCTTTATGTTGATGCTCTTTACTTTTTGGTATATTTTTAGAAAGGCTAATACTGGTTGTTCCTCTATGTGTAATGCTTCTTTCAGAAGGTTTTGTAAAGCAGGCCTGGTGGTAATAAAATCTCTGAGTACTTGCTTGTTCATAAAAGATTTTATTTTTCCTTCAATTGTGAAGCTTAGTTTGGCAGGATATGAAATTCTGGGCTGAAAGTTCTGTTCTTTAAGGATGTTGAATATTGGCCCCCACTCTCTTCTGGCTTATAGGGTTTCCGCTGAGAGATCTGCTATAAATCTAATAGGCTTCCCTTTGTGGGTAACCTGACCTTTCTCTCTGGCTGCCCTTAGTATTTTCTCCTTCATTTCAACCCTGGTGAATCTAACGATTATGTGCCTTGGGGTTGCTCTTCTTGAGGAATACCTTTGTGGTGTTCTCTGTATTACCTGGGGTTGAATAGTGTCCTGCTTTGCTAGATTGGGAAAATTTTCCTGGATAATATCCTGAAGAATATTTTCCAGCTTGGATTCATTCTCTCCATCACATTCAGGTACACCTATCAAACGTAGATTAGGTCTTTTCACATAGTCCCATATTTCTTGGAGACTTTGCTCATTCCTTTTTATCCTTTTTTCTCTATTCTTGTCTTCTCATTTTATTTCATTAAGTTGGTCTTCGACCTCTGATATCCTTTCTTCTGCTTGATCAATTTGGCTGTTCAAACTTGTGCATATTTCACTAAGTTCTCGTGTTGTATTTTTCAACTCCGTTAGTTCATTTATATTCCTCTCTATATTGTCTATTCTTGTTAGCATTTCATCAAACCTTTTCTCAAAGTTCTTAGTTTCTTTACATTTGGTTAGAACAAGTTCTTTTAACTCCCAGAAGTTTCTTATCATCCACCTTTTAAAGCCTACTTCAGATAATGGAACACAGTCCTTTTCCATCAGGGCTTGTTCTGTTGCTGATGAGGAACTGTAATCCCCTGTAGAGGGAGAGGGGTTCTGATTTTGGGTATTCTCAGCCTTTTTAGGCTGGTTTCTTCCCTTTATTATAAATTTATCCATCTGTCGTCTTTACAATTACCGCCTTTGTAATTAGGTTTCTGAGTGGACATCCAATTTATTGATTCCCAGTGCTGGAATCCGAGCAACCCACTGCACCAGCCAAAATAGCAGCGATAAGACTGATGGTGCTCTTCTGCCCGGGAATCACTGGTCTGGCTTCCTTCTTGAGTCCGTAACAAGCGGCTCTGCCTTCCCGGAGCTCCAAACACTGGGTCAGTAGGGGAACCAGTCCTGTTTACTCTGCATGAAGAGCTACCATGCCAAGGCGCCGGCAAAACCGCTGCGCCAGCCACAAGAGTCGCACTGGCGACCCGTGGGGCTCCTCCACTGGGAATCTTCTGGTCCATGGGCGATGAAAATTTGTCTGAAAGTGTGGCATCCTCTTGTTCTCTGCTCTTTCACTGGGAGCTACAATCCCGAGCTGTTAGCGATCAGCCATCTTGGATCTCTCCATACTCTGAATTCTTTTACTTAGGTTAAGTCTTTTGAGATTCACCCATGTTGTATGTATCAGAAATTTTGGCTATTAAAAATAAAGCTACCATGAACATTTGTGTACAAGTCTTCATGTAGACATATGCTTTCATTTCTTTTAAGTAAATACCTAGGAGTAAATGCCTGGATGGTATGATAGGAATGTGTTTGACTTTTTAAGAAACTGCTGAATCATTTTACAAAGTAGCTGTGCCATTTTACATTCCCACTCGCAATTTATGAGAGTTCCAGTTCCTCCACATCTTAACATTTGATAT